CCTTTCAAAAAGAAAAAAAGATGGGTCCAAGACAAGATCAATAGAGCATTCAATGTGTTGTCACAATCCCACACCACTTTGGGCAATAGACATCAAGGAATAGTAAGCAATGTGGACTATCCTCAGTACAATTTAGTTGGTATGGCTGGGTGAATAATGTAGAATTTTTTTTTCTATGTGTGCTCTTAACACGCTTAGAAAGTAATGAATTTTACTTGACATATTTTTCTTTTTAAAAACTGGTAGCTCTGATACATTATGAGCTTTTCTCTCTTTTTCTTATTTCCCAAGAAATAGAAGGCCACTTTGCAAAATTATTTCCAAAATTGCTCCACCATTTTTTGGGTGTGTGGGTGTGCGGTTACCTTCCAATCTACATCACCTTCACCATATCCTAGAATGACCCTAGGTAGATGGCATAGTGGACAAAGTGAAATGATGGCCAGGTTGCCAACACAATTGCTGTTGTGGCCACTTGGAGTGCAATTGTCAGAAACAAAAATGTCTGGGGGAAAAGAACAAAACTGTGCTTTGATTATTAATGGTGAAAGCTACCTTCCATAAATTCTTGGAAAATTTCTTCATTCCTTGGGAAACGTAAGAGAAATGTTCCCCCTGAGACTCTCCACACACCACACCACAAATATGGTGGAGAATTTTGAAAGACCCTTTGTGCACCACTATAATCTTCAATGGGGAGTACAGCAGGGGAAGAAACTACTTCTCAATTCCCCCATGGCCCCTATTCGGTTTGAAGTGGTGGTGCATGACTTCTACTTACACTTTTTAAAAATGCCATTTAGTTGCATTCATACAAAATCATTGTGACTCATTTAGCTTTGTGATCATTGCACAACCACAACATTCCTATTACTCTTTATTCCAGAGGAGGGAACAAGAATGATCAAGATTTGGAATCAAATATTATGGTACATAGGAAAAGGACCTGACAGCACAATCTTTCAGACAGTAGTTTGGGGGCTCTGGATTAGCCTAATAGTAGAGTCAAAGTACAAAACTCAATGGTTTGGGGGGTGGTACACTGACAGCAACAGCAAATACATATGAGTTCATCTAATACAGGAATATGAAACTAGGCACCGTCCAGATGCTTAGAACTATACCGTTAGGAATTTTGAGGTGTGGAGATAGGTCCAAGACAAGGCAGTCTTCCAGGTCAACAGTAAAGAGGCTCACAGAGATTCCTTTCCAGTAGTGTATTTACATAATATGTACAGCAGACTAAACTATGCATTTATCTGTAAAATAAACAGACAGCACTTCGTGCAGCAACTCTCCATACAACGCTCTATATTCCACTATCGTGTGCAGCTCTTATATAATGTGAAACAACCAATCACTGGCACATCACATGTTGACCTCTACTAGACACTACATCAATACCTAATACACATTTCAAGGATTGCATCATCTATATGTGCTAACCTTGTAGCTGCATACCTATTATAAAAATGGATGTCTAATAGAACACCCTGGTTCATGCACCCTGGTTCATTTACAAAGAATAAATTCTTCTTTGTGGGCCACAATATTCTGACATAACCCCCATAAACCTCTACCAACAAGACCAAGGATCAGGACTTATAGGAGTTGTAGTCTAAAACATCTAGATGGTAGATGGTTGACTGTTGTTGTTGTTTAGTCATTAAGTCATGTTTGACTCTTCGTGATCCCATGGACCAGAGCACGCCAGGCCCTCCTGTCTTCCACTGCCTCCCGGAGTTGGGTCAAATTCATGTTGGTAGCTTCAGTGAAATTGTCCAACCATATCATCCTCTGTCATCCATTTCTCCTCTTGCCTTCACACTTTCCCAACATCAGGGTCTTTTCCAGGGAGTCTTCTCTTCTCATGAGATGGCCAAAGGACTGGAGCCTCAGCTTCAGGATCTGTCCTTCCAGTGAGCACTCAGGGTCGATTTCCTTCAGAACGGATAGGTTTGTTCTCCTTGCAGTCCAGGATATGGTTGCCTACCCCTGAGCTAATTTATGAAGCTAAAACAAAAACAGACTGGTCACACAGGATGGTGTGAAGTGAATCCCAACCATATTGTGCATATTTTTTTTCTTTTCACATTTGCAAGTATAGGTAGAACAACACGGTTTGACTTACCTTCTTCACTGCCCAGCCACTTCTTTTCCTCTGCAAATTGTGATGGGAAGGTGCACCTTTTCTCCCCAAGTATTCTTCCCTGAGACTAGGTTCTAGGTGCAATTTCCCATCCTTACAACAGGTCTGGAAATTGGTCGGGGGTGTTGTGGAGGGACCTCTAATGGTAAACTGGTGGAAGATTGAAGAGGTAACCTTCTACTGCAAGCTGTTTCTTTGATAGGAGGTCCAACATGCTCAGAAAACATATGTACGAGTTTTGAAGACTGGGCAGACCGTATAGTTTCACCTGCATAAGCAGAGCACTGCATTCACCCTGTGACAACAATATTTCCAATGGTTGGGGAAAATGCAACAGGAGTGCTCACAAATATTACAGTAAGGGAAAAATTACCAATGTAACAATCAAGCACAACTGTTTGTTTGCTTTCCCCATTAACTCCCAGCTTAATTCTTGCCTGAGCTCAGCATTGATATTTGATTTCCACCCTGCAGTGTATGCAGAATAGTTGGAAATGGCCTTAAATGGGTTCGGAGTGCATTTCTCCTGCTGTTAGTTGGACACAAGCTCTTCTTGGACTGCTTGTCGATTAGAGTCAACAGGTGGAAGGGGAAGATGCATCAAGCCCACTATCCCAATCTCTGATTTCCATCTGTTTAACAGCTGTGTGCGTGCATGCAAGGTGAGGACAGCCGATCTGAAGTTGCCTCTCTCCTCCTTTTATCAGCTATTTATAGTTCCAAATTTCTGGAAAACATTGGAGTCTTCACACTTCATCAGGTGCTGACAGAAGTAATTTCAAATCAGAGAGTGCTGTTTACAGATTGACTTGAATCTTGGCATCCATTTTTTTCTAGAAATTAAGTATCACATCATCCATCACCACCAGGAGTCACAAGGTCTAAACTGAATCTAAATATCTTCAGCTCTCTATTTCCTTCCACTAAGGTCTTGCAGGAAAAGTTAGTTTTTTAACAGAAAACTAAGTATGAGTATGGGAGTACTGGCTACCAGACCTTTGGTTCTCCGGATATGTTGGTCTGTGGCTCTTATAATACCTTATCACTGGCCACACAGGTTAAGGTTATTGAGGTTGAAACCCAACACACCTAAAGGTCCAAGTTTTCCTCACTCCTGACTCCGCCTTCTCTTTCCCACCATGGGCCCAAAAATCACCCCCCCCCCATTATTGGTATCAGGAGGGAAGATTCTATTGGTCCTCTGGGCAAGACCTCCCAAGAATTCTATTACCATTTTTGAATTATGCAGGCATCCACACATTGAACCTCATGTCTGAGACTTTAAGGAATGTTGAGTTGTGGAGTGAGAGAGGCTACTATACTTTGTAAACAGGCTGCATATTTTTTCTATACTATTGTTGTATAGCTACCATGATGGCTTATGACCCTATCTGGAGAGGAATTTATTGACTGCACTAGTTTGTGCGTTGGTAAATACAAAGATCGGTTACAACAATGCTCTCTATATGGGGCTGCCCTTTAAGGCAATACAGAAGATACAACAGGTTCAAAATGTGGTGGCCACATTGGTTTCAGGGGCTTTGCAATATGATCAGATCTCCCTGATCCTGGCCTGCTTGCATTGGCTCCCTGTGTGCTTCTGTGCAAAATTAAAGATGTTAATATTGACTTACGATGCGCCCAACATTTTGTGACCTCAATACCTGTCAGAGCGTCTCTCCTTAAGGTCTATCCGTGACCTCCAGATCCCCCCAGACATCATTGCTGAGGGTGACCACCCCAAGGGAGGCCTGGGAAAAGGTGACTATGAACCAGGCCTTCTTGGTGATGGCCACAACACTTTGGAACACCTTGGTGGTTGGAGATACACAAGACCCCCTCCATTTTAACATTTCTAAAGCTTGTAAAAACAGCTCTTTAAAGAGGCCTTTAAAAATATCCTCAACCTGAGGTAGATCTTTTGGTTTATTATGTTTAAATATGTGGTTTCATTTAGTTATCATCATCAAGGTTTTGCTTTTTGTCTGGACTATGTGTTTGGATTGGGCTGGATTTAGGGTGGGCAGACAATTCTTTTATTGGTTTTAAACTGCCCAGACTAGTAGTTTGCCATTAGATGGAAGGTCCAGAAATGGAATGAATGAACGAACGAACGATCAAACAAACAAACAAACAAAATGGCCATTTGAAAGCAAAATCCCATTTTTCACCAGGGAGTAAATATCAAGGTCAAATATCTATCAGTAGGTAAAATTATCAGTCTTGCCCCAAATGCTCAGTGATTAGATGTCATGAGGACTGAACACTTCCAATAATATTTGCAGTTTCTTTTACCATTAACTATTTTGTCTTAAAAAGAACAGCTGCCCTGCTGACAATCAGGTGTTGTTTCTGCTGTTGTTCTGCTCCTTTGCCTTGTTTATCTAAACTGTCAGGGACTCAACAGAGCCATGCCCAAAGGACATTGCTAAATGCTAGGGACAATAAATGCTATGATATTTGTCAGCATTATTCAGAGCTCATGAATCAATCATTTCCCAAAGACCTGTAAAATGACACACTGAGACGGAAAATCACTGGTGAATAAATTCCACCATTACAAAGCCTAAGTGTTACCTAAGAATGAACTGGATATAAGTGAAGAAGAGTTCAAGCACAGGTCCTGGGCAGTAGCACTCAGCTCCCTATATTTAAGTAATTTCTATATATCAGAAGCCATTAAAAACCATCCACTAGAAAATGACCATGAAGATGCTGCAGGGCTACACAGCAGCTGTACTGAAATGTCAAAAGGGCTTACACAGCTGACACAAGCTACTCAAAACAGAATATGGCAGTGCTTCCATAAATTCTCCTTCTCCCGCCAAGCACTGCTTAATATAGATTTACCATATGCTTCAGTCCTCACTTACTCTTCCACAATGATCTTCTAAGATCAAGCTGTGCTACCTTTTCTGACAAAAGAGCCCGTCAGAACATTGAAGGGTTTCCTAGGGCCAGATAATTTTCACCCAATCTGGCTGTTCAGTTTTCTGATTTTTACCTGTGTTGCTCTTTTTAGACACTTCTGTGGGTGTTGCCTGTTTTAACCAGTAGAGAACATGTCTGAGTTCAGCCAAAACTCTGACCAGGAGGATGTTTTTTCTGAGGAGATTGATGAAGACGAAATTTTAGCAAACTTGTCCCCAGAAGAACTGAAGGAGCTACAAAGCGAAATGGAAGTCATGGCTCCAGACCCCGAAGTGCCAGTTGGAATGATACAGAAAGATCAGACTGAAAAACCCCCAACAGGAAACTTTGACCACCGATCCCTGGTTGATTACTTGTATTGGCAGAAGGCATCCAGGCGCGTGCATGAAGATGAGAGAGTTCCAGTCACTCTCTTACCATCGGAGGTAAGGAGCTGGAAATGCAAATATTCTGCATACAGCTGCTATTCCAAAATGTAATGCTCTGACTCTATTAACTGCCATGTTTCCAGTATTTATATGCATTTACCTAAGAATAAATACTATTAAATTGGAAGGACTTAGCTCTGTGTACATGTTTATAATTTAGAGCAGCTTTTAAAAATGCTGCTTCCTTCTCAAGCCCAGAAATGTTAAAAACTGCAATTTTATATTTAAATCATATTTACAGTGGTCTCAGCCAGGTTGCTGCAGAAAATCTTATTTACTTCATTTAGGAACACTCCAGGTTTTACGTTATTTTTACTTATAATGAAGCTTATCCTCCCATTTTTACTTTAACATTTTTAAAATCCATATCTAGCAAATTAACATGAGAACAGCTGTATCACATATCCTAAAAGGAACACCCAAATAATTGTTGAATTACTGTAGTTAAATTGAGGAATATGCCCTCTGGGTGGGGAATTTTTTTTTTTAACAAACGTTTAAAAATATAGACAGAGATAAACTCAAGGGCATCTGCTGTCAACAACAAGACCAAAAAGTCTTCCCAAAAGCCTAATTGTTTACAAGAGCCAACAGCCTCTGCCTCAGAAGAAGCTTTGAGGCAGCATGGAGGAGGTCAGAGTGGACCCCTTGTAATTCTGTGAATGAGGCAGGGCAATAAAACCCTGAAGTGGAAGCACCCCAAATTCTGAGACATTACTGTAAGATGATGGGATAGTCTTGTAAGCTTAAGGAGCTACAGATGCATTAGATCTTCAGTGACAGAAATCAATAATCTTCAGTGTTTAAAAAAAGTGATCACAGCTATTCGCATTCTGCTTCTCTTTCAGTTGAAAGAACGTTGTAACAAAATACTGATTGAAACTGTTCTGAGGAGTACGATGAAACCACCCATGAAAAACCATAGTGTTCCAACTACCTTTCTGAACAAAAGCCATGCACGTTTGTGAGAGCAACAGTGATCACATTCTAAAATGTCCGCCCAAGTGTTGGGAAAAGGTTTTCCTTGTGAGGCACAAATGGAGAATGGAAGGAGTTAGTTTCCTTCTCACAATTCAGCAGCCATCATGTTTGGGACAAGTTCTGGAGGCAACAGAAGCAGCTTGATGAATAAGGGGGACCCTGTGTAAGATATAAGAAAAAAACGGCAGGGCGATCATAGAGATGGGGAGGAAGAGGCAGTCAAAGAAGCCCTGTCTTCCCCTTATCCTGCTGAACATACAGCAGATCTAATTCAAATAGATGACAACAAAGAAAAACAGTAGAAATTGAGATTAGGGTTCCATAACCCTGGTTTTGTCATGTCCTGCTGAAACGAATGACATTCTTAAACATTTTACTAATCTGAGTAAAAGCAAACATTTTACTAATCGGAGTGAAATCAACCGGTTTACTGGAATGTGACTGATCTTTATAGCAAAATTATTATGGCTTTTATTTGGTATTGTGTACGTATCAACACTATACACAACAACAGTTGCATACTTAACCAGGTTTTTTTTTAGCATCCCAGAATATAAGACATAGAAAGTATTCAGGACAAAACATTTTGAATTAAAACTCCCCATGTAAGAAAGGTAAATAGAATGAGGCCTAACAGAGTATTTTGTGTCTGCTTCTCCAGGCCTAACTTGTTGAAAATGAGCCCAACTCGCATGTAAAATCTGGGTGGGCACTAATGAAAATTCTGGCATGTTAGAATTGCTAGAAGGTATGGAAAAAAACTTTTAAATGTTGTAAGTGTCTGGGTGGGCACTAATGAAAATTCTGGCATTTTAGAATTGCAAGAAGGTATGGAAAAAAACTTTTAAATGGTGTAAGTGTATGTATTCGCGAAGGCTTTCATGGCCGGGATCTAATGGTTGTTGTGGGTTTTTCGGGCTCTTTGGCCATGTTCTGAAAGTTGTTCTTCCTGACGTTTCGCCAGTCTCTGTGGCCGGCATCTTCAGAGGACAGCCAACTACACCAAAGCACAGAGTGCTGTCCTCTGAAGATGCCGTCCACAAAGACTGGCGAAACGTTAGGAAGAGCAACCCTCAGAACACAGCCAAAGAGCCTGAAAAACCCACAACAACCAATGTAAGTGTATCCTTGCTTTTCATGCCCCCCTAGCTAAACCTCATCTGATATGATAGTTCTTGGCCTTTTAACATAATAAACTTAACATAATAAAACCCACTACCCTGCTTGCACTGTGCTAACAGGGTCCCTTGAGGCTTGTTTAACATCTCTACCTCTATGCAGAGGCAAAAAAAATTTATCGCTACAAATTTATAATATAGATGCAGTCACCAAAGATGCTACAGTGCTTAACAGCAACAGGTTTGGTGGCACCTCTGGCACCTGGCTTACGGATAAATCAGACAGCAGTTTAGTTCCAGAAATATACTCTTACATTTGAATTGCATCCGCCTTTGGAATACAGAGAGGACTGGTCCACATTTTTAACCATTGCATCCATGGTTACACCCAACGAATCCCCCTTTTCTCTGCAACTGTTAAACTTGCAGGACCAGATGCTATTTTGCCAATGTCAACTTAAACACACATGTTAATAACAATCCCGTGGAATCTGTGGAGGGTTGAGAGGTTATAAAATGTAAAGAAACAACAGGGAGCTGCAATGAGAAACTCTTTGTCTTTAATATTTCAGATGGCCTCTTCCATTTATAACATTCTGTACTAGGTTTTTGCAGTGCTTTTTCTGCCTTTTTCCTCTCTCTCTCTCTTTCTTTTCTGTTTGTTACTTCTCGCTACTTAAGATTAAGGAGGTAAAGACAGTGAATCTGCACAGTCTTTGCTCAATGCTGGGTAACAACCTCCTGTGTAGGTTCAGCCTCTGTCTGTCCCACCCCCTGGGTGGGTTTTGAAGACGCTCCCTACTGCTTGGCCAGTGGGCCCCCAGTAGTTGCTAGACCCTTTGATTGGCTCCACTCTTGCACTGTTCCCTTCAGCTACTTTTCCTCCTCATGCCTGCAGAGTAAAAAATGAGTCTTGCCATCTCAATGGAAGAGAAATTTCTAGAGCATGAGGTAGCCAGCATAGCCCATTTTGCCTCTAATCTATCTGGCCCTCAGCAGTCAGTAGCTCGTTTTCAGCCTTCTTTCTTCCCAGATGCTTTATCCATGAAGGCCATGCCTGAGTTGCATTAATTGTTTCCTTGATTTTCAGAGGCTGACAGAGGAAGATTCTTCCTCTCCTTCTGCAACTCTGGTATTATTGCCTGACTTTAACTGGCCTCATAGCGGGGCTCTGAGAGAGAGGGCAGAGATGGATGGACTTAGAAGTACCAGCTGCTTCACTCTCTGCTTGCTCAAATTCTTATTTTGCATCTGAATTCATTATAAATGTCATATAAATTAGCAAATGCAGGTATATCTTTTTCCTCTCTTGACTTTTTTTTAATGCATGCTGCCCTCCTTGGTGATGTGTATGTGGCTGGTATACCGATCTCTCTCTCTCTCTCTCTCTTTTGGATGCACGCCCCCCTCCTTGGTGATGTGTGTGTGGCTGGTATACCAATCAGGCAAAGTAGTATGGACTGGTCATATGGATAGATGTATTTTTTAAAAAAGTTACCTGAGGGAGATGTGAACCATAAAGGCTAGTTTGGCCATTGGGATTGCTCCATGCTCAGCTGCACCTGAATATATCTCTCTTACCTGATGTTGGGTTTTACCCTAGTATGGACTGGTCATATGGATAGATGTACTGGTTTAAAAAGTTACCTGAGGGAGATGTGAACCCTAAAGGCTAGTTTGGGCATTGGGACTGCTCCATGCTCAGCTGCACCTGAATATGTCTCTCTTACCTGGTGTTGGGTTTTACCCTATGTTCAAACCTAGGGTTCCTTGCATTTAGAACCACAACCTGGTTCTTTTCTACCTGGCTAGGGCTCCACCTGCAGCTCCTGTGCTCTAGGTCAGTGGTTCTTAACCTTTGTTACTCGGATGTTTTTGAACTGCAACTCCCAGAAACCCCAGCCAGCACAGTTGGTGGTGAAGGCTTCTGGGAGTTGCAGTAAAAAAAAACACCTGAGTAATCCAAGGTTAAGAACCGCTGCTCTAGGTGTGTGCTGCTGGGCCTTGGAGCTGAGGGAAAGACATGTCTGCTTCTTGCTATTGTTGCTCAATGGTATGTTTTGCGCTCTGTTGTATCTGCAGTGTGGGGCTGAGTCCTTGCATCTCTGTCTCTTTTGCTCTTGGCATCACATGTAAAAAGTGTGCTGCTTATATACCACCCCACAGCACTTAAAGCGATCTGTGGGTGGTTTACAATTTAATTATGCAGAATACATATGCCCCACCCCAGAGAGCTGTGTACTCAATTTACAAACCTCAGAAGGATGAAAGGCTGAGTCAACCTTGAGCTCACTACCTGAGCCCACTGGAATTGAATTTAGGTCATGAGCAGAGTCTTAACTGTAGTACTTCAGTTTAACCATAAAGCTGAAACTAGGGACTCTCTTCCCTTTGCTCACACTTAACCACCCACCTCCTGCATCTAGCGTCCCATGTTATAAGCTTAGGGTGGCTACTTCACCGATGGAGGACATCCATTACCCTAAAAGAGGAGTCACTGTAGGCGCAAGGGACCACCACTTTTAGGGCCTGAGGCAGGTCCTTTTACCTCATGAGGAGTCACTGTAGGCGCAAGCGATCACCACTTTTAGGGCCTGAAGCAGGTCCTTTTACCTCAGAAATGCGTAGTCCTTGCCCTGTGGACAAGCTCAACCTGAAAATAAACCTCTTGCCCGCTCACAAGGCAATAAACCACTGGCTGTGTGCTTCCTTAGAAAGCACAACAGACATACTAGGTAGGACCTCTCTGTTATAGTAGCAATTAGTGACCTTTCTATTCTACTCTGGATTTAGGTGCAGTCCTGCTATTCAAGAGATAAGTCCTGAGTTATAATTGTTTTATTAAGAAAAATAAGGTAATTCCATTAAAATACAGTTACAGTTGTAGCTTTAAAGCATAAAGCATATAAAATACAGTTACAGTTGTAGCTTTAAAGCAATAAAGCATATACATATCCAATCAATTACTATGATTCAAATAAGCTTACTATTATTAGGTTAAAATAATAAAAGCTAAACTAGACTAAGTAATCATCTTGACTAGCATTCTACACATCAGCACACTAGAGAAGCTGGGTGAATCTCCCCCCCCCCTTTTTTTCCGGTTTCAAAAGACAAACCTCATTCTCTCCATCATCAGTCACAGCAACAGCATGTCCCATACATGAAAGAACAATTTTTCTTCATGTTTCTGGACCTCCCTCTTTTTTACCCTTTCCAGTTATCAACCAATTAGGATTATGAGGATGTACTGTAACAAAACTCACCGCCCATATTTCACATGAGATCTGCCGATGGCTTATCTCATCCCAATTAGGAGGAATGTGGTGTTTGGTCTTCCTCTTGATCTTCTCAAACCTTGCTCCTTCTTTATCTTGGTGCCAAGCAGAGCAAACTTGGAACAGTATCACATGAGAATATTCAGTGGTTTAAATTCAAACTATACAGAACACTTAACAGACTCCATCTTTGTATGACTACAAGTCCCATATGCCTTCTAAATTCTTCTTACAGGCATCATTAAGGTCTCTGGATGTTCTCCTTATGGTTCTTTATCTCACTCAGCCAAAGAAACTCACTCACTGAATGGTGGCCCCGATAAAAGCACTTCTTAAATATCTCACATCACTTTGAAACCTTACCACAGCTATTGTAAAGCAGAACTGACTTGGTGTCACATAACACAGATACTCAGCACACCTCGGTTCCCATAGTCTCCACATATACATATATCTTTAATGGCCCAGAGTTACACCTGTACAAGGATGATGATCTCATCAGAAAGAGGAGTTTTTTAAGCAGTTAAAACATCCTTCTTCCCTACAACTTTCCACTAATGAGTAATCTGTTTCATTGTGTGGAAGCCACAGGATGAAAGGAGGAAGTCTTTACTTACTTTCGGGAATGCTGCGACATTATCACTCTTTGGCAAATGTTGACTTAAGCAACAGTATCTGGGCCAATATTTTTTTCACCACAAGAGGGTTGTATGTAAAGCCTTTTCATTTAAAAAAAAAATTAAACCTGTTTTTAAACCTGTAAACTCTTTTTTTTAAAAAAAAAAGTTAAGGGAAACCAACAGAAGTAGGCTTTACAGAACATCATCACAATACCATGGGACACTTTAAAAAAATAAACATGCAAATTAGCTTCTTTGACCACATCTCCACCTTTAGCTCCACCTCTTGTGAAAATAGACCTTGGGTTGCCAACTAATCCTTGCAGCTGCTGGGATCACCCACTCTGGATTCATTTTTAAAAGATGATGAAGAAAATGAAACAGAATTTTGAATTAATGATTGCACCAGGCAATAAAATTCACATCTAATCATTTTTTAAAAAATGTATTGTCCTTGATAAATACTCTATCCCAATAGTCAGAGTGTGCTGTTTGGAAAAATAAACACATTTCTCATCACCAGAATCCATAATACTATATTATTTTATTGTATATCAATTCAGGAAGAAGCAACACCAGAAAAATAAGACAAGCAAAATCTTATTGCCATTTTATGCTAGTGTACCCCAAATAAGAGACCTTTTGAAAGCAAATTGCTTCAAATAAAGAAATAATCATGGACATCATCTGTTGAAAATGGACCTATGTGGCTTGGTGGCAACACAACAGACAATGTTTATGGTGATTTCTTAACTTGGAGCAATTCATCTACAAGTTATACTTGCAAACATAGCTAACAGGCTTTTAGCCAATGAATTATTCTTATTCCCCCCTCCCCACAACTATTAGATGTATGTATAACCTCTTCTCATGAGAAGAGAAGACTTCCTGGAAAAGCCCCTGATGTTGGGAAAGTGTGAAGGGAAGAGGGGAAGGGGACGACAGAGGACAAGATGATTGGACAGTGTCATTGAAGCGACTAACATGAATTTGACCCAACTCTGGGAGGCATGGAAGACAGGAGGGCCTGGCGTGCTCTGGTCCATGGGGTGATGAAGAGTCGGACACAACTTAATGACTAAACAGCAATAACATAACCACAGCCTATGCATAACTGAGCTCATGTTAGCCTTTCCCATATGGCAAGGCAGAACCTAATATAATGAACAGGGGACATCTTTGAATAGGTGTGCCCTGTCCTCCTAAGCCCTCTCAAACCCCTGTTTCTAAATAAAGAGTCTGATGATTTAGAATCACAGGCCTCGTCATTTAGTTCAGCAGAGCCTCAGGCGAGGCCCCATCTCTCTAAACCTCAGTCCCTCCTAACTGTCCCCCTGACTGGGCTGAGGCTGCCATTTTTTCATTGGAGAAGACAAGGGAAGGTGTAAAGCAAGTGGAGCCATTGGTGCCTTAAGAGACTGCTCTTTGTAGAGTTGGCTGAGAGGGCTGTACCCTCCTTGACCAAGGAAGACGAGAGGTGAAAGAAGCTGGCCAACCATTCAGCAGATGCCTCCAAGAGATGCTTTTTGACATGCGGACTCAGAGGTCTTCTTCCTCCATTTATCTTCTGGCGAGAAAATGAGTAGCTGTCAAAACCAGTTGTAGGCAGTGGTGGGGAACAAACACAATACGGCCCTTGTGGAAATAGACTTGCCCAATGCTGTTCCGGATCCCCAAATATTATTGCTGGGACCAGTTTGTCACCCAAGCCAAAACAGTTCCTTACTCTAGCTTTGTACTAGCTATGGGCACCGTCTTCAGACAAACACAGAAATATGATTTGAGGAACAAATTTGTGCATTTCTGAGGCCCCCATGGGAGAGCAGCACTTCTCTCTCTCCTCCCCGCCCCCATGGTTTATATGGAATCTGGTATCACAGTTAGAAGTGAGAAAAGAGAAGGAAAATTCAGGGACAGGGAGGAAAGGATGGACTTTGCCTTAAAAACAAAGTCCTTGCCTTTCGTGCTTTAAAGGTATCAATTAAATCATCAGAACTCTTGGGGCTGCAGCCCCACTGAGCTCAGAAGCAGGAAAGGTGGAACAGGAAAAAAATGATGGAAATAGAGTACAGAAGAGCATGCTCCCTTCATTTCCCTTCTAGTAAGGAATCAAAGACTAGGCGCACACCCAACCTTCTTTTGAAGTCCTTTACTCACACCTTCCCCGATGACAGCCTTGGGAGACCATGGGAGGCTTTCTCCAGGCAACAGGGGAGAGAAGAGGAATACATGAAGTTCTAACAGAGTGCCCAGTTTCACAACTGCTGCTGCCCTTCTATATTGCCTGACCTGGTCTTAAAGTGTGTGTTTCCCAGTCAGAGGAATGGACTTGTCAAGGGGAATCAGAAACATGCAAATGCCATCACGGACCTGGACAAGGATCAGGACAGAGAGTCTCCAAAAGGCACAGGGCAATGGAGGATCTGTGTGTCCTTTATGTGGGCATGGAGTGGGAGTTAAGAAGGTTCCACACATACCTATATCAACAAATAACCTCCAGCACTGGCTCCTGGATTTCACATTATATGGCCCTCTTACATCTTGTACAAACTTACGGGAACTTATGGTTGATTGTTGGAACTAATACACACACACAAAGGCACACACAAAATTCTACTCTATTGACTCCTCGTCTCTTCTCTTCTATTCATTCTGACAATCTACTGTAAGACCCCTTAAGATTGCACAACATGAGTCAACTTAGCTCCGTCAACATGATCAACCTCTCTCTGGAAGGAGCTAGGCTGATTCATGTTCTGCTTTATGCAACTGCAGCAATGTCCCATTCTTTTTAAATTTTTAAACTTATGAAGATTTCTTTATTTCTTCTAAAGTAGACCTTGATAACAAGAACGATTTTGAAACCCTTGCATAAAATGGCAACACTGGGAATAGGTTGTTCATTAGTTTCTTTTTTTAATGTATGAAGGCAATTGTAAAATAACACTATAGATATATTTTTCTTCCACTTTGCAACCTTGAGCAATCAGTAGGTGCTTCCAGACAGAGAGCTAACCTTCAAAAGGCATAGTGCAGCTATTTTATGATTTTTTTCTTTACTAACTTGTTTTTATGGTAATAACAAAATGGAAAGACCAATGGAAAAACACAGTGGGTTATAAATGGAAGGCAACAACATCTGCCATGTGGGAAAGGAAATATATGGGGAAACAAATTTAAATATCACAGCAACTATATTGTTTTTCTTTAACAGTTGTGGCAAACAATTTTAAATTATTTCAGCTTGTAGCATTTCATTTTCTGTAGAGACTCACTTCAGAAAGGTCCGAAGAAAATGTTGCCAAGGATAGCAATGAGAATCAAATGGTGAAGAATATGGCACAGGAAACAAATGGAGATGTAAGAGACTACAAAGATAATGAAGAAGAAGAGGAGGAGGAGGAGGAAGAGGAAGAGGAGGAGGAGGAGGAACTCCTTCCTGACCCGTGAGGAAGACGAGGAGGAGGAGGAGGAGGAAGATGGTGACAAAGCAAAGGAACAAGATGAAGAAGATGAAAAAGTTAAGGAAAATCCAGGGGCAACAGGTGAAAAAGAAGAAAAAAGTGAAACAAAAGTGTCAAAGTTAAATATTCCCAAAAAGTTAGCTCTTGACACCAGTTTTATTAAGTTAAGTGCAAGACCTTCAGGAAATCAAACCAACCTAGAACAGAGTTTGGCAAAAGTCCAGAAGAATGACCCAGACATGACAGAACTCAATCTGAACAACATTGAGAACATCCCTAAAGAAATGCTGATGGACTTTGTCAATGCCATGAAAAAGAACAAGCACATAAAAACGTTCAGTTTAGCCAATGTGGGGGCAGATGATAATATCGCTTTTGCCCTGGCCAACATGCTACGTGAAAACAGGAGCATCACTACTTTGAATATTGATTCCAACTGCATCTCAGGTAAAGGGATTGTTGCTCTTATGAGGTGCCTGCAGTACAATGAGAAGTTGACTGAGCTGCGTTTTCACAATCAGAGGAGTATGTTGGGCCATCAAGCAGAGATGGAGATTGCCAGGCTACTAAAAGCCAACCCTACCCTACTTAAGATAGGCTACCACTTTGAACTTCCCGGTCCCAGGATGGTGGTGACCAATCTGCTTAGCAGAAACCTTGACAAGCAGAGGCAGAAAAGGATGGACGAGCAAAGGCAGCAACAATTAAAGCAGCAGAAAGAGCTAATAGCCATGTTAGAGAATGGACTCGGGTTGCCTCCTGGGATGTGGGAACTGCTGGGGGGACCAGTGCCAGCCGCAATGATACCTCCGCCGGCGCAACCTCCCAGGCCACCCGTCGCCAAAGCTCCATCTGCTGGCAGAAGAACTGAACCTGTGAGAAAACCAGCCCCGGAAAATGAAAGGAGCGACAATACTCCCGCCTTCAAAGTAGTGAAACTGAAGAGGACCCAGCGCAAACCCACTATACCAGAATACGTGGAACCAGCTGAAAAAACAAACCTCAAGGATGTGATCAAGACATTAAAGCCGATTCCAAGAAGACGGCCTCCTCCCCTGGTAGAAATCACTCCTAGAGATAAGCTTCTTAATGATATTCGTCAGAGCAATGTCGCTTATCTTAAACCGGTAAGTGCCATTGATAGAATGATAACGGGGGGGGGGGGAGGAAAATATTCCTGGATCAGTCAACCCATTTTAGGCTGACATTTTGTACAAAAGGAAATTATTTTGGAATTGCTTGCATTTTGGAAGCATTGATCTGTCATTTCTTTCTCCATCCCCTAACTACCCAGGCCCTGACTAAAAGTTTTTTCTGGAAGATTAAGGGGCTCCTGATCTAGCTGGGATGAAATCCATAGGACTGCTGAAGGAAGGGAATCACCAGAAATAGGGCAGAATTTCTTTCTCCCTTCTCTTCCCTTATGTTGGGTTCTAAGCTACCGTCTCTTATCAAGAACACAATTCTGTTTGGACAGTCACCTCAAGTCAATGTTGATTCATTGGAACCTTGCTTTTTTTCTTTTTCTTTTCTTTGTTTACAGTGCACACACGGTGTGTCTTATTTCCATGTGTAGAATAGAATTTTATATTTATAAAGAATGGCTGCTACTATAATATGTGTTGCATTGAAACATAATAAGAGGAAATATAGCACAGTGGTAAAGCACACATTATACATGGTGAAAATCTCAAGGACCATTCCTAGCATCTCAAGCTAAAAGTGATCAGGGTCAGAAAAACTTCTGTTTTTGTAACAAGTTCAGAGGAGGGCAACAAGGATGATCAGTGGGGCTAGAAACTAAACTCTATGAGGAAAGACTGAAACCACTGGGCATGTTTAGCCATGAGAAGACTGAGGAGAGATATGATGACACTTTTCAAATACTTGAAAGGCTGTCATTCAGAGGAGGGGCAGGATCTGTTCTCGATCATCCCAGAGTGCAGGACACACCAAGATGGACTCAAGTTACAGGAAGCTAGATTTCAGTTGAATATCAGGGGAAAAAATCCTAACTGTTAGAGCAGTACAGCAATGGAATCAGTTACCTCAAGAGTTGATGGCACTCCAGCACTGGAGGCATTCAAGAGAAATTTAGACAACCACGTGGCTGATATCCTTTGATTTGTATTCCTGCATTAAGCAAGCGGTTGGACTCGGTGGCCTTATAGACCCCTTACAACTTCATGATTCTATGATAGAGGCCGCTGCTTGGAGCAGAGTAAAAGAGTTTAGATTTGGTTGACATCCAGTCTGACCCAGTATAAGGCAACCTCCTGTGTTCATTTTGCTGAGCTCTTAAAGCAGTGCTAATTAGAGGCTGTTGTAACACCATATCCTAAGCACAGTGTATATATTTCAGTGAGAGATAGATCCCTTTTGTTGTTGTTGTGAGTATATTTTTTGTCCACTGTTGGCACATCAAGTCAGAAAGTTAGATGTTTGAACATCTTGCCTAAGAGCCCTCTATGAAAAAAAATAAGCCTATTGTTACATCGTGCCTGTGGTTACATATGCTTACACTGAAAAGTGCTGTGCAATATTCGCATCCCTGATAGGTGAAGGGGAAAAAAACCCCTGAGTTATGCTTATGTACCTACTTGTAAACTAACGGAATTGAGTGAAGTAGTGCTTTAAAAAATCTTTTGAGTGTCTGCTTCACCATTTGAGGCGACATGGAAAAAGGCAGTCACACTTGTAATGCCTTGCTCATAAAATTCTCTCCCCAGACCACTTCTCTGGGTGCCTACCTTGATATTTTTAAAATTACTAAGCAATGGCCCTTTTTCATATGTCATGTTTTCTTTCTGGAAGGTGTTAATTTTTGCTCCAGTTATTTTTAGTCCAGTATTTTTGTTTATTAATATATGTTCATATACTAATCCATTTATACCTCATTCTTGAGTAAAGTTTTTTGGAACTGCTTACAGAAGCCTGTATTAAAGTAATGTAATTAAATATAAAATCACAACAACAACCAAAAGAAAACAGCAAAAATAGCAGTATAAAAACAGTGACTTGAACTAAAACCCCTTCTAGCAATGGGTGGGAGTAGCCTTCCTAAAATCAGAGACTTAGTCACACTGTAACCATTTTTTTAAGAAGATAAACCATTACCCACTGTCCTTCATCTGAAAGGGCCACCCAGAAAAGACCATCTGAGCAAAACTTCAATGTAATGCATTACCACTAGTAATGCCACCTGTATGAAGCGTGGATAACAATTTTGCCTGTTCCAAAATTTCATAAGTTTTGAAAAACAGACTAGTAACACCATAAGTAATGTTTCCTCACGGTTCCTAAATGGTTCTTTAAAACCTTTTCTGTATTTTTAAAGTGTAGTTCAAAATAAAAATTAAAAAGTAACTAAACAGTAACTTTACTGGCAACAAGCAACATAGAAAAATCCTTGTTCAATATTGAGACACATTAATGAGTTACTTTTAACAAGTAAAGAAGGCAATGAACAGGTTACTGAAAAAAAGAGTAGTTTTTCATACTTTGCCTCTAACACTGCTCCACGTTCACAGACATTATGATGTGAACACCGATACAGATAGAGACAGAGACTGCCTGTAGAGTGAATATTGTTGTGTTATTGTCTTTTTATGGTGTTTTCAACCGCTCTAGATATATTTAATTGAAAGTTCTTTAATTTTTTTGGAGAATTAAAAGATAACAGCTGAGTCCAAGTAGTAAAATACAACTAGAGAAGACTCATTCTATCAGTGGAACTTATGGAAGAGTTGATTAATCAAGTTCTGACTGAAACCCACTCTAGTTGCTTACTATTGTTTCCCACCCCCCAAAAAAATACACAAATATAGTTAAATACACTGAAATAAATATTACTGATCACCTTCCTGTTGGCTGCCACATATAAGAAGAGGTCCTGACTCCTGGATTCACATGATGAGTCTAACCCTGCCCCTTGAATTGTGGAGGAACCTCTATATGGGAGGAGTGACTCGGGCATAGTTGCCACTCTTCAGATGTCTGCACTGAATAAGTTGCTGGACACTAGTGTGCTAGCCACATGCTTAACCAAAGTATGCCCTGCTTCCTGGTCATCAATTTGAATCCCTTTGCATTGCACATACCCCCCCCCAACTGCCATTACCAGCATTTTGGGAACTGCTATCTTTGCCACACTTGACTTTGCAGGAGCAACAGAAAGAACACTAATAATGTGAACAATACGAACCCAATCTGTGCCAGGTTTGGGTGGGATCTTGTGAAAAATGCAATTGGTGGTCCTCTCTTTGAGTGCCCATCCTGCTTCACCACTGCAGTCCCAGCTGTCCATTTGGTCGACATCTCCCTTTCAGCCTTATCCATATAAGAGCCTGAAAGGAGAAGACGAGGACAGAGGCCATGGCTCCCCCTGCTTGCTCCTGTCACTCATCTCTTGCTTACAGGGCACAGGTGAACAGGTATTAACTATCTGGCAGAGGAGGAGGAGCACACCTAGGCATTCCGGGAGCTCCTGGGATGTCAGACTTGGCTGCTATCCAGCAATGACAGTTCCTGATATTGGCCTGTTTTCCACATTATCATGATTTGAATCTGAGCATCTCTGTTGTATGGGTGTCAGCACAAAGTCTTGCATTATTTACAGGGTGGCACACAGGAATGTACATGCTATTGCATGTGTAGTCAGAAACAATAAAGCACATTAAAGGTCACCAGAAGTTACAGGTAATGTACTTCCTTTGACTTCCCTTATAGAACATTTAAATAAAAAAAATCCTTTTGATCCAGGCTAGTTCCACTCCAGTGTCAACTACTAAAAACACTGCAAGATTTCCTCACAAATCCACACCCTCTCAGTTACACAGCTGGGGCTGCTGCCTTCTGAACAAGCAGGCTGGCATTAGATATCCCTCCTTGGAGTGTTTCAAATGCGTGCAGTGTTTTCACTTGGGTTAAGTCCAGTGACTTGCACCTGTTAATCACGGAGGTCACCCATGGCTGTTGTGTTTAATTATGTCTTCCTCCGTAGTGCAGAAATAATTCCCCAAGGTTAGAAGTCAAGCAGTATACATTACTACTATTGGCAGTTCCCTTTATGAAGACCCCTAGGCTAGTTTCCTGTCCAGTACCAGACTTCAGGCAATATCAAATTTGGAGCCTACTCAGTGTTGTCTCATTTTGATCCTTTGCAGAATTCTCAGCTGTAACTTGAATGCAATAGTTTTTATGAGCAAAAGGACTGAGTGGGACAAAAAAACCCATTTCAACCACTTTCCACTACCGTCTTTTCCTTTCTGTGCTTTTTTTAAAAAATTACACTACTGGTTAAATTGCTGTTTCCTGGACTAATGGATCTCACAAAAATCTTTGTCCAATTATATTAGAAGTTTCAGCTACTAACAGCTTGTGGTGAAAGAAAGACGATTGTTTGGGGGTAAGGAACATTATCCCCACCCCTTCTCTGCTCAGAAGCCAGTCTTCCATCCCCTTTGGTGGGTATAGAATCATAGAATAACTGAGTTGGAAGGGACCTATAAGTTCATCGAATCCAACCCCCTGCTCAATGCAGGGGGTGGTCATTCCCATAAAGCAGCAGTTTGAGGTGGAAGTACAGGGTCTGGTGCCGCAAGATGAGCAGGAGGGCCTCCAGCATACACTTCAGGCTAAGTGAAACAGTAACACTCCATAAGATCATTAGCTCCAAAGCTAAAAGCATTATGGACTGTACCCAATCACCCAACAATTTACTGTTAGAGAAGCAAGAAGAGGTCTCATTTTCAGACAGAAGGGCATTTCCCTCTGATAGAACGACCTTCAAGAAAGCCACTTAGACCCCACCCAGAGCCTTCCTAAGTAACAGCTGCTTTTGAAAAAAATATTTGAGGGTTGGCAACCTTGTTGTTCTTCAGATATTGAACTGCAACTCCCATCAGACAACATATCTACTGGCAGTGGATGATGGGATTTGCAGAGGGGCAGTTGTTCCCCATCCTTGTTGAAAATGACAAATAAAGGCAAAACCTTCCTCCAGAATTCTTTGGATTCCCATTATTCTGTATACTTTTTGAAGATTGTGTAATTTGAAAAAGACTGAGGGCTAAAATCCATCCTCCCTCACAGAGGCAATTCACATTGTTTGCTCTTTTCTCACAGGTGCCAGTTCCGAAAGAGTTGGAGTAGGACACCCCACTCAGTTGAAGGAAACAACATGAAAGGAAAATGACAATAACGACAACTGCAAAACCACAGACTGTTCAAGTGTTGCTTCAGTTTTTTTAGGGGGCTGTTTCCTTCAGGAGGAAGACATGAAGATGTGGGAACAATGTTAGAGGCATGTTGGTCTGTAGAAATGATGATTTAAAAGGACAGAATGGAAACAGTGCATATGGTCAATAATTCCCATCTAGTCTCAAGCCAAACAGTCTCCATCAGCCAGCTGGACTTTTAATTTCTTTGCAGAATGGGGTGCAAAGTGGTTACTTTTCTTCCCCTTGTCAAATTATGTTGCTATTTTTTTGAATATTCATTCAGTAAATCTTAATGCAAGCATGTAATACTCTCTTTTAAACATACAGAGGCATGTGGTGTCCTTTTATGAGGGTCCCCCCCCTCTTCTCCCTCCTCAGTTCTCCTGTGTAGCTGTGTGGAATGCTTGTCAGCTTCAAAACACTCTTCTTCCCAAACCATCATTGCTTTTGTTTTTGTGAGATGAAGGATACCACAATAGAAATAAATATCTACTTTTAGAAGAATTTGGTGCATGTTGGCTGTTAGCTGCAAACACTGTGAGAAAGAGTGGTTGTGGAGATTCTGTAAACAGCGCCTCCTCTAGCCTGTCAGGTGCCCTGAGGGGCAATAACTTCAACCAGTACTTAGAAAAGCAGGGCTTAGAAGCATTACTAATTGGACGACAATTCCCGGAATCCTCCAGTCAGCATGGCCACAGGCTGGAAGTTCTGAGACCAGTTGTCCAGGTCTGTGGAAAAAATGTATTTTGCACCCATGCACTATGGCCATCTCCTGATCCTCCATTACAGCTACCATTGCTATAACTCATCTCCCTCTTCCTTTTCCTACCATCCATCCACTAGACAGAAAAAAGAACTGAGAAAAATTTGGTGGTGACCGGTTCTACTTCTTGTTGCCTTTGCCATTTGCAGGCTCATCTTTGCTAGGCAAGAAAAAGGGTTAGGGAGCAAGCAGGTAATAAACAAGAGCAGCAATAGCATGCGTGAGGTAAGGGTCGGCCAAAGGCATTTTACCACTGAGGAAGGTGAGCAAATGGCATCCTGACCCCAATTCAAGTTACATATTGTGACCAAAGCCAACCAAACCACCTTGAATGTGGCAGTCTTCTCTGATTTTAAAAGCTTTAGAAGCTAAGCAGAATCAGGCTGGTTGTTGTGG